TATACTCTGCAGTGCGAGGTTGAAAGCTTATCTTCTAACATCAGGGATGAGACCAGGCTGCCCGCTCTGCCCTCTCCTATTCACACCGTTCAGGAAGTGCCAGCCAGTGCAATAAGGCAAGAAAAAGAAATCGGAAGTATCGGAACTGTAAAGAAAGAAGTAAAATGGTCTGTTTGCATGTGACTTAATTTTATAGAGAGAAAACCCTAAAGACTCAACCAGAAAAACTGAGAGCCAGTCAAAGACTACAATGTACAAAATTAACATACAGAAATCAGTACCATTTCCATAGACTAATTTCTGAAAAAGAAATAAATTGATCCCATTTACAACAACATCAAAAACAACAGAACAGGGGCATCCAGGCAGCACAGTCAGTTAAGTACCTGACTCCTGATTTCCGCGCAGGTCGTGACCCTAGGGCTCATGCTGCTCTGACAGCAGAGCCTGCCTGAGATTCTCCTCTTTCCTCTCTCTGTCCCTTTCCTGCTTGCGCACGCACTCTCTCTCTCAAAATGCATAAAAACTTAAAAAAGAGACTTAATTCTTTTAATGTTTATTTATTTTGGGGGTGGGGGAGGGGCGGAAAGATCGAGGGCGAGCAGAATCCCAAGGAGGCTCCAACAGTCAGCACGGAGCCCGACTCACAGGTTGAACTCATGAACCATGAGGTCATGACCTGAGCCAAAACCAAGAGTCAAACACTCAACCGACTCAGCCACCAAGGTACGCCTCCCCCAAAAAAGACTTTAAACAAAACAATAAAGGGGCGCTTGAGTGACTCAGTCAGTTAAGCACCCAAATTCAACTCAGGTAATGATCCCACAGTTCATGGGTTTGAGCCCCGCATCAGGCTCTGTGCTGACAGCTTGGAGCCTGGAACCTGCTTCTGATTCTGTCTCTCTCTCTCTCTCTCTCAAAAAATAAATAAAACATTTTTTAAAATTTTTAAAGAAATTAAAGAAGACACAAATAAATGGAAAGGCAGTCTGTGTTCACGGGCTGGAATTGAATTAACACTGTTAAACTGTCACTATTACCAAAAGTCACCTTTGGATTCAATGCCACCTCTACCAAGATCCCAATGACGTTATTTTATAGAGGTAGGAAAAACACTCAACTGTATAAGGAACCACAAAAGACGGCAACCAGCAGACAAATGGGGAGAGAGGAGAACACAGCAGGAGGCATCAGACTCCAGTATGAGGCTGCCGTCAGCTGCTCTGCACCCTCCCCTTCCCTGAGCTCTCCATTTACGGGGGCCCACTCAAGCCTCCCCTGTCCCTCTGTGACACCCCTGCTGGTGGTAATCGTGGTCATAAGCACCCAGGGCTAGACGACTGTTTACTCATTAAACACGGACACTATGCTTCCTCATTCCAGGTGCCGTCCAGGCACTTTGCCAATATTAACCTGCTGATTCCTCACAAGGCCTCAGGCGGGTGCTGCAATTGCCCCCATTTTACAGATGAGAAAAAGGAGGCGAAGAGACATGAGAGCCACAAAATCACACTTGTGGTCGGGGCTGTGGCTGGCTGAGGGATGACAGGCTCCCTCCTCCGCAAAGAATTCCTAGTCCTGGGAGCCTGTGAATATGTGCCGTTAAGCTGCAAGGGGGTTAGGGTGGCTGACAGCTGAAAGATTAGCAGGGCAGGCCCAGGGCAATCTCAGACGTCCTTTATTTATTTATTTATTTATTTTACTTTTTTTTTGAGAAACAGAGACAGAGCACGAGCAGGGGAGGCTCTGTCAGCACAGAGCCCGACGCGGGGCTTGAACCCACGAACCGTGAGATCATGACCTGAGATTAGGTCGAACACTCAACCAGCTGAGCCCCCAGTGCCCCTCACAGGGGTCCTTTAAATGTGGGGGAGAGCAGAGCAGTCTGGGTCCGAGCATGATGGGAGACACCACTGGCCTTGAGGATGGAGACGCAGAAGCTACAGGGGGCAGCAGGCTCCCCCTCCCCCAGGGCCTCCGGAGGGGAACACAGGCTGAGAAGCCTTGGCTGCAGCCCGGTGAGACCCACCAGGACTTCCGCCCCAAGAACCCTGAGCCACTAAGTGTGTGGTGACTGTCAGAGCAGCAGCAGAGCCCAAGAGCAGACGTGGGGCTGGGGGGGGTGGGGGCTGCGGTGACAAACCCGCAGAGGCTCTGGAAGCGGGCAGCGGGCAGAGGCTGGGAGAACTCAAGACGCAGGACGGAAAGGGCCCGCACTGCCCTGCACAGACCGTCAGGGACACACAGATGTGACAGCGCGGCGGGGAGGCCTCGGGAGGAGGCAGGGGGCACAGTGGGGGAGCCCCACATCATCTTGGAGGGCACCCGGGCCGCCAGGAGGTCGCCTAGACGGTAAGGGCGCTGCCGGTGCGAGCCCTGACGGAAATGGGGACTTCGCCTGGACAGGACCAGTCTGGGCCCTTCTCAGCTTCGGCCGGACTCCACCGCCCCCGTCCCTGACCTGGAAGCGAAGTGATCTTTCCTCCCTGGGAAGGCCTCTGGGGCACTGACTAAGGTAACCTATTAACCAGCCTTGCACACACACACCCCGCCAGCTGCAAGCACCCAGGTAGGTACTTCGCTGTCAGAAAGACCCAGAGCGAGACTCTCTGAGCCCACATCTCCTCTTTACCACGGAACGACCTGACCACCCACACAGCCCACACTTCCACCCGGCGCCCGCTGTGACGGAGGACACCCTTACCGTCATCCCCCAGGGGGTCCTTATCCTTGGTCACGAAGAGTAAAATGAGCAACTTTAACAAACAATGTCTGTGGAATGGAAAGAAAGTTCAAGAGCAAGACGAGAGGAGGAAAACAGTGGCCTCCCCTCCGAAAGTCAACTTCTGAATCTGCAACAGAGATAAAGGGAAGGCACCTATACTCCCTACCTACGTGGGTGTCTCGGCCCACGTTGCCCGGACCCGGCCGTGCCAGCCACACAGACGGCCGTGGCACTGCTGAATCCAAGCCTCGGTCCCCCGTGCCTGGGAACACAGGGCAGCCGTGTGGACACGCCTGGCCACCCCCACCGCCCCGGGGAGGCTGCCCGCGCTCTCGCCGAGAGAGTTCCAGGAACCAGAGAGCAGCGGCCAGGAAATGAGTCGCCGCCCCCGGGAGCCCGAAAGCCAGTCCAGGACGTGACATCTGCTGTATTACAAAACCCTCCGGCGATCAAGGTTCCGGCTGCATCATGTCCTTGTCCCTGAGGAAAGCGGCCAGTCAGAATTACTCTGCTACTTCACATACCCTCGACGCCGGGAACGCTGCGCTGATGCCAAAGGATCAGAAAGCCCGCGCCCCACGGCTAAGGTCGGCCTCTGACGGCAGCCACTGCAGAGCCTCTCGGTTTGGGGCCCAACAGCAATCCCTCCTCTTGTACACCAAGGACCACCGGTCACCGGTAGGATCTGAGGGACAGCCTTGTACCAGACAGACAGACACGTCACTTTCGTGGGATCTGACTTGCAGAGCTTGCGTTTCGTCCCGACCAATGCTTAGTGCTGGCAAGTCCGCTGAGACGGAGGACCCTGGAGCCTCGCTCTGCAGCCTGCGGCCGGGTTCACGTGTACCTGAAGACGCCGTGCTCACAGCACGGTTGCAAGTCAATCGCTCAGACATTAACCGTCGTAATAAAAAACACAACAACAACAACAAGATAGGGAAATGAAGGGGCACCTGGGGGGCTCAGTCAGTTAAGCGTCCGACTTCGGCTCAGGTCATGATCTCGCAGTTTGTGGGTTCGAGCCCCGCGTTGGGCTCTGTGCTGACAGCCCAGAGCCTGGAGCCTGCTTTGGATTCTGTGACTCCCTCTCTCTCTGCCCCTCCCCTGCTCACGCTCTGTCTCTGTCTCTCTATCTCTCTCTCAAAAATAAATAAACATTTAAAAAATCTTTAAAAAAAAACGAGAATGGAGGAAGAAGGGTAGATGCACATCGGTTGACTTCACAAATTCCATTTTAAACACAGAACTAGTTCTAAGTTGGCTCACTTAGCAGCCCGGTGTGCCCCAGCTGGTAATTTAGATTTTCTAGACAGGAACTTCGGGTATATACGGGTCGCTTCTTCAAAGGCCGGCCTCAAAAAAGTCAGACCTCCAAGTTCCAGGCTTCTGTAAATTGTGGTCACTGAAAATGTGCCCTCCTATTTACAGTTCTTTATTTACTTCAAGCACCTTATTCCTTTTCATAGGGACGGAGGTAAATTCTATTGCACTAGCACGATAATTGTGCAGGGTTAACAAACCGAAAGCCCGAACCAAGATGCCCTGATCCTACTTTGGAAAAATCACAAGCACTACACGCACTAAAAATAATTCATTACCTCTCTTAAAAGTGCTTCTACAGAAAACCCCTTCAACCCCCGTGGCAGAGACCGGCTGATGCCCAGCAGATGACTCCCGTGTGGGAAACGCAGAAGTCCTCGGGGCTCCCGGGAGAGTCCTGAGCTCTGCCTCCGACTCTCCCATCGGCCCTGCAGGGAAGGCTCTGGGGCTCAACTTCCTCTTCTATAAAGAAGGAGTAATTATGCCAGCTTTGCTCACCCCTCAAGGTGGTTGTGGGCAGCAAATGAGATCATGCTCATGAGAGTGTGGTTACGTTCACAGGCTCGGCACAGGACCCTGGGGACACAAGACACCAGGGGCTTCTCTCTTTGGAGCCGGGGACGCTGCTCAAGCGTCACTTGCGTTGTCCCTAAGGCCCACTCAGTGGCTGCACAGTGTCCCCACCAGCAGAAGGGAACAACTAGGGATGCGAGGGGCCAAGAGCGACCTCATATGGTGACTCGGGGTCTGACGCTAGGGATGGGGTCACATGTCCTGGGAAGGCGGGGCACGGGACCCTGCCCTGGGGACTCCTGCCCTCAGGAGACCTCCGACCTCGGGGGGCCCTGCCCTCGGGGACCCCCGACCTCGGGGGGCCCTGCCCTCGGAGCCCCGGCCCCGGGAGGTCCTCGCCTCCCCCTGGAAGCACCTCCCCCCGCGCGGCGCCGGGCCTCACCTGCCGTGTCCCAGATGGAGATGTGGTAGGAGCGCCACTGCTTCAGGTAGAAAGCACCGCCCACCGTGCTGACCGTGTCCGCGAAGCGCCGCTCCATGTACCTCTGCAGCAGCGACGTCTTGCCCACGTTCATGTCCCCCAGAAGCACGATCTTCCCGTCGGGCTTCCTCATCGTCCCGCAGGAAGGCCCCCCTCTCCTGCTCTCCGCGCCCGTCTGGCCCGGGCGCCCCGGGAGCCGCTGGAGCAGCCGGCCGCCGCCCCCAGACCGCTCGGACCCGGGACTCGCGAGGACCCGGACTCGCGGGGTCCCCGAACTTGCGGGAACCCGCGGGGACCCTGCCGCTCGGACGCCTGGGAAGGCGAAAGAGGAGGCACGTGTTCGAGCCCGGGCAGGAGGGGGAAACCCGACCCCGCGGCGACCCGAGGAGTGCAGACCGCGGCTGTGCGCACCGACCCGGGCGCCCCGGATCCCGCCTCGGGCGCCCAGATCCCGCCCCGGTCCCGCCCCAGGCCCCGCCCCGCGGCCCCGCCCCCGGCCGCCCCCGCCCCTGACCCCGCCCCCGCCTGGACCGCGCCCCCCGCCCACGGCCGCGGCGCGCAGCGGCGGACTCGGGTCTGGCGCGCAGCGGCGGACTCGGGTCTGGCCCGCGAGGCTGGGGGCGCAGGGGGCGCGGCCCGGAGCTCGTGGGCAGCTCGCGGCCCCCCACGCAGTGCCCCCCGGCCGCGCGGGGCCCCTTATCTGCGGCTGCACAAATGTAGCCACCAGTCAAGGCCGTCAGGAAAAGTTCACCGTCACGGAGCGTCTGCAACACCCCGTCGCGGAGGAGGCTGGAAAGCTGGGGGGAGGGCGCCGCGGGGGCGCCTTCCAGGGCCGTTTCCGTCTTGTTTTCTGCACTTTTGCAAGAAGTCGCTTACGCTGTTTTGTACCTGACAGGGCGCGCGGCCGTGACCGTTTTTAACCCCGGAGTCACTGCCTGTTGTCAGTGCCGCGGCTGCGCCAAAACCTCTCCTCCTTTTGGAGTAAAGCTTGAAACGCTTCGAAAATGTGCAGCGCGTGGGATTTGGTGTTTAGGAAAAACGCTGAGGCGGAACTCGGTGCTCCAGTTTGAATCCGGGTCGGTGGTTTGCTGGGGGCACCGCATGGGCCGTAAAGAGGGGCCAGGGCCTGGCCCACGCAGGCGCTCGGTGCAGGTGCGCAGGGCGGCGACCCCCAGCGCCCCCCGCAGCGCCCTTTCCTGTTCAGACACCTGCCTGGCTTCCTGATGTGCGGACAGAGGCAAAAAGAAACGCGGGTAAAATTCGATTTCCTTATAACCTGCGGCCGAGCGACAGACCCCGGGGTCCGGCAGAAGAGAACATTCCTCCCGGAGCGCCCGACTGCCCTGATGTTGATGCTTTGCGGAGGAACAACTGGTAGTTTGCTGATAGAGATCACAGGCAGGCAGGACTTGAGTCTCCGGCGTTTCGTTTACAAGGAAAAAAGCAACCTTACCAATAGCCAAACTTCCAGAAACCCGTTGATTCAGTTTCCTGGGATCCTGACTCCACCTCCCTCCTTATATAATCAGTCACTCCTCACAAGCGCAGCTCTTTGTGCCCACCGTGCTGTCCCTGCTTCTGTGCGCCACATCAAAGCCTAGCGGGCACACAGTAGTTGCTCAAGAAAGCTCTGAGTCAGGAAAGGATGGATGAGCTCACCATCCTGGGGTGACCGGAAGCTGTGTCCTGAAAACGTATCATGTTGGGGCGTCTGGGTGGCTTAGTCGGTTGAGCGGCCGACTTTCGCTTAGGTCATGATCTCGCGGTTCGTGGGTTCGTGGGGTCGAGCCCCACGTAGGGCTCTGTGCTGACTGCCAGCTCAGAGCCTGGAGCCTGTTTCAGTCTGTGACTCCCTCTCTCTCTGACCCTCTCCTGCTCACGCTGTCTCTCTCTCTCTCCTAGAAATAAATAAAAACATTTAAAAACATTTAAAAAAAGAAAAAAAGAATTACGAGGCTGGGGCGCCTGGGTTAAGTCGGTTCAGCATCCAACTTTGGCTTAGGTCATGATCTCATAGTCCATGAATTCGACCCCCACGTCGGGCTCTGTGCTGACAGCTCAGAGCCTGGAGCTGCTTCGGATTCTGTGTCTCCCTCTCTCTGCCCCTCCCCTGCTCACACTCTGTCTCAAAAATAAACATTAAAAATAGTTTTTTTAAAAGGTATATAAGGAGTCACCTGTCACAACCCCAGTGCACCCTGCTCTGCCCACGGCTCGTGCGTGACCCTGAGCTTTCATAAAACGACCTTTTTGCGCTGAAGACATCTCAAGAACTCTTTCTAGGTGTTTTGGCCCCAAAACCCAACACTTGAAACCACACCGCCCACAGGCTCCAGCCCTTCTGAGCCTCTACGCCCCTGGCTCGTCCTAACCAGCCCATTGTATTCACTATTGTTTCATCCTTTTCTCCTGTAGTAATTTTCAAATTCCCTAGAGACATGGTTTAAGCCAACTCCCCGGCTCACCTTGCCTTCCCTATCACTCACGAAACAGGGCGCTGAGCCCACGAGGGTCCAGGAATTTTGTTCTCTGTGCCTCCCAAGTGCCTAGAACCGAGACCTGGTCTGTGCACAATTAATGTGTATTTGGATATATTTCATTAACTGAATGTTGTCTCCACTGCGAAAAACGGCCGCTCTCAGAGCAAGTTTGCAGGGGACAGACCATCCCCGCACGGAGCCTGTGCCCGGCATGTAGACTTCACTCAGCGAGGCTGTTAAAAATGTTTACTTCTCCAGCACTTTGAAAAACTAAATTCAACTGAGAAACTGTCTCCACATCAAATTTCAACCACTCCTAAGAAATGCCTGAAGACTGTCAATCGCCCTATTCACATTCCGGAGGCCGTGTTGAGGAAGGAGGTAGACGTTGGGTTAAGAGTCTGTTTAAGGAGCTACTTACCTGCCAAGTACGATGTTTGTTCTGCCTGGATTTAAACCACTGGCCTCACAGGCTAATCCTTTTTCCAATTGCTAGATGAAACGTTCCCAAAGCCAAGAAAAATATGTAGTTTCCTTTTAAAAGAGCTGTAATCTTAGCAGTTCTGGGACCGTCTACAGTGAAAATAAAAGAAATAAGAAAATGTGGTTGCTTTCGGTGGATTTTGCAAAGTAATCTGGGAGTGTTTCTAGGTACCTCGCTGTACAATTTTACCTTTTAAAGTACTTTCTTCCTTTCTAAAAAGCAAAGCAAAACTTGGGTCGCCCGGGTGGCTCAGCCGGTTAGGTGTCCGACTCTTCACTTTGGCTCAGGTTATGGTCTCGCAGTTCATGAGTTCGAGCCCTGCGTCGGGCTCCGTGCTGACAGTGCAGAGCCTGTTTGGGATTCTCTCTCTCTCCTCTCACCGCCCCTCCCTGCCCGCCTCTCTCTCTCTCTCTCTCAAAATGAATAAGCTTAAAAAATTTAGACAACAACAACAACAAAACTTGCCTATCTGTCATTTATTCTTTCACTGGGTAGGAATTGCCACACTGACACGAAGCCCCAACCTAGGAATCGAGCAATGAGAAAGACAGCCAACAAAAGAAACAAGCAAAATATATAGTCTTAGACAGTGATTACATATTAGGCGGAAAAAAATAGAACGGGAAGGTACCTAGAGAATGAGGCCTAGGGGTAAATGCAGGGGATTCTATTTTAAGCAGAGAGCGGGGAGAGCAGGCAGTGCAAAGGCCCTGAGGCGGAAACCCACCTGGTGGGTTTGATGGACTTCAAGAGGTCAGAGCAGCCAGAACAGGAGAGAGAAGGTGAACAACCGTGAGGTCTGTGAGGAGGGGTGGCTGTGGCCGAGGGTACCAGGGCCGAGGGGCCACCACTAGGCTGTGGCTTAGACGCTGGACCGGTAAACCAGTGCCAGAGGGGTCTGAGCAGAGGAGAGACACGATGTGTCCTAAACAAAGTCACTTCCCTGCTGTGTGGAGGTGGCCGCGGCCACGGCAGAGGCAGAGACCTCTGGGAGAGACCGCGGCGGTCGGGCTCAGCGCGAGATCAGAGGAATGTTCGAAGCCGTCTGCATTCTGAGTGTGTTTTGAAGGTGGAACCTGGCGGATTTGCCGTGGATTCCACGCGGGATAAAGTGGGGGGAGGAGGGAGAGGAGGAGGGGGTGGAGGGAGAGAGAGAGGAGCCGAGGACAGGCTTCGGGAAAGACGGGTGCCCCCCCCAGTCTTCGTCAGCTCTCAGGGGGCAGTAGCGCCCTCTGGAGCAGGGCTCCCCGACCTCAGCACGGCCACACGCACTGGCTGTCCCTGGCGGGCAGCGGCGCCCTGGCCTCTACCACCAGACTAACACCCCCGCCGTGGTGACAACCGAGAAACGTGCTCAGACACCGCCCTGTACCCCCGGGGGACAGACGCCTTCAGTTCAGAACCACCGCTGTAGAATCCTTCCGACGCCCTTTAAAACGTATAGTGAAATTTCTCAGAGGTGAACATCACGGCTAGCTATTTTCTTTTTCCTTTTTTAAAGTTTGTTTATTTGAGGGGCGCCCGGGTGGCTTAGTCGGTTAAGCGTCCGACTTTCGCTTAGGTCATGATCTCGCGGTTGTGGGTTCGAGCCCCGCGTCGGGCTCTGTGCTGACTGCCAGCTCAGAGCCTGGAGCCTCTTTCGGTCTGTGACTCCCTCTCTCTCTGACCCTCCCCTGCTCACGCTGTCTCTCTCTCTCCTAGAAATAAATAAAAAATTTAAAAAATTAAAAAAAAAAATAAAGTTTGTTTATTTGAGAGAGAGAGAGAGTGCAATCGAGGGGGGGCGGGGGGGTTGGGAGAGAGAGAAAGAGACAGAGAATCCCAAGCAGGCTCCGCACTGTCAGTGCAGCACAGACGCAGGCCTCGAACCCACAAGCTGTGAGATCACGACCCGAGCCGAAATCAAGAGGCTTGTGGCAGAGGCTGGTCTAAACTGGGGGTCCTGCTCTGCACCACGGCCATCTGGGCAAGGACCCCAGCAGTCACATCCATAGAACATTTCCTTCTCTGTAGGTCACATCCCCGGAACCCGCGTCCCCTTCGGAACACAAGCGATTTGTATCTAGAGTGTTCCCTGAGACACACCGGCCGCTACGGCGGACGCAGCGGGTTGAGCCATCACATTCTAAGACTTCTGACGGTTTTGCCCACTTGTCCGGTCTTTCAGTGGAATTCCCGGGTCAAGCAGATGTAAATTGGGTCCGTCAGGATTAGGCTCTCACTGACAGGGACAGAAAGCCCCAAAAAGCCGGAGTTTAAAAGGGACAGACATTTACTTCTTTCACAGAAAAGTTCTGAGGCAGACCATCCGGGGCTGGCCTGGCAGTCCGTCCTACTAAATCCTCAGGACTCCGTCCGGCTCACAGCTCGGCCAGCTCAGAGGTGACTCTCACCCTCCTCGGCCTGGTTGGAGCTCCAGCCATCACACCCACATTCCAAGCAGGAGGAGTAAGGAA